AAATGATTTTATCATGTTCTTTAAAAATTATGGTGTTCTTTCAAAAAATGAAGGAAAAAATATCATTTCTAGAGCGAATTATCCTTTAAACTCTCTTCTGTGATTTAGGAATTTTTATTATTTTTTTTTTTTAATTTTATCAATTTAAAATTTTAGTTGAAGCAAACCAGTTAGTGGTGAAATTTTTTTATTCCAAAATGAACAGAAAAATCAGGAGTATTGCTTTCCTTTCTGATGAACAAGAAAAGTATCTTAAGAATATAATTCTGCAGAAAAAAAAAATTTTGCTTTTGTATATTTTTCAGCTATTTTATTGTTTCAACTCTTTGCTTACTCTGTTTTTTAAGTTTAAAATCTATAAATATGAAGATGAAGAGTATAATAGTTTTGGTTATACCTATTTCGAATAATGTTATTATAATGCTTTTTTTTTCGTTAAGTCATGAAAAATATTGGGATTAGTCATGAAAAGTCATGAATTTTGAAAATCTAAAATGTAGCAGATACCCTGCATAAGATTCATGTTCCTTGACACGGCACTTTAAGGCACGCTTAGTTTGGCCAATATATGAAAGGCCAATAAATGAAGGGGTGGCCAGGATAGCCTGATCGGTAGGGCGCTGGGCCCATGTCCAAGAGGTCGTGGGTTCAATCCTCACCGGCCGAAGAGTTTCCGTGTAGTAAAATGGTGACTGATGCACGTTAAATCTGCCGAGTTTCAGAGTCCTCCATGTTCCCATAACAAATCAATACCTCTGGGGGTACTGATCCAGGAGTTTCCTTTCTTCTGGATTGGTTCAAAATTACAAGGCTACGGAGTTAAACATTAGTAGTCGTAAACCCGTGAAATTGGGTCGGCTGTTCAACAATTGTTATAAAATATATGAAAGGCTGCATTGGCAGTGAATTTGGTATATACCCCAGCTATTTTGACTGTTTTATTTTATTAATAGGACTGAAAATAATATTATTAATAAAAATAATATTAATAAAAATAATATTATTAATAAAATATTATTATTAATAATATTACGACTTAATTTAGGAAAATAGGGCAAGATGGCTAAATTGTTAGAAAATTCTTTGGAAGATTTATCGGTAGGCGATTGTTTAGTTAAGTTTTTATAAATATTATCAATAATGTTAGGTAAATAACCTTTGTCATGTACTTAGCCTTATACTTAGTGACATCTATATGCATTATTTTGAAAGTAAACTGTTCAAAATCTTAACTTTCCCCTTTATGAAAGATATGTTGATAACAGTTTTGCTTTGTTAGATGAAAATAATTGTAATTTAGACCAAATTCTTAATGTTATGAACAGCATTGATTCTTGCATTCAGTTCACCTTTGAATTAGAGACTGATCAAAAACTTCCTTTCTTAGATTTTCTTGTAACTCGGAATGATAATTCATTCCATACCACTGTCTTTCGTAAACCTTTCGCTGTTTCTCTTCCCCCTCATTACAAATCCTCCCACCCACCCAACCAAAAACTTGCCTCTTTTCGATCTTTTGTCTACCGTGCTGCTAATATTTTTTCTAACATTGATTTTCTTGATGCAGAATTAAATTACTTCAAGGCCATTGCTCATGACAGAGGTTATTCTCCTAACATTATTGATAATATTTATAAAAACTTAATTAAACAATCGCCTGCCGATACACCTGCCAAAGAATTTTCTAACAATTTAGTCACTTTACCCTATTTTCCTAAAATAAGTCGGCAAGTTGCTAATATCCTAAAGAAGTCTGATTTTAATATTATATTCAGTCCCATTAATAAGATAAAATTTTCTAATCTCAAACAGCCCATTGACAGTCAAAATAACTGGGGTATATACCAAATTAATTGCCAATGCGGCCTTTCATATATTGGCCAAACTAAGCGTGCCTTAAAGTGCCTTGTCAAGGAACATGAAGCTTAGGTCAAAAAAACAAGAATTTAAACGCTCATCTATTGCCCAACATTGTTGGGACTCTAATCATAATTTTAATTTTCCTTCTTCTAAAGTCATTCAAAATTGTTCCTCAATTTTTGATTTAGATTTTTACGAGTCTTATCATATTTTCAAAAATTTCAAACTGTTGGTCAATGACCCATCCAGCGTTCCTTCTCTTTCTCCTGTTTGGAAATCTATGATTAAACCTAACTAACCACCTTTTTGTTCCTTGCTTCCTATTCGTCGTCATCCATTCACCCTTCCCTCCTATTGGCTGTTGCTCTAAACCCTCTTGTGACGTCACCTTTCTCTATATTTACCCTGTTTTCTCTCATTTCTTTCTGTTGCACTGATGAAGGTTGCCCTTTGAGCATCCGAAACAGCTGTCTGTATTTTATAAATATTTTTGTGCTCCTTAACGTTGTTTGCCTTAGTTTGTATTAGCAAGTAATGACAATGTAGAATGGGCTGAAATGTATTTTACTTCTTTCATTGTGGAGCATAATCTACCTCTTAGTGTCACAGATCATGCCGCCCCATTATTTAGGAAAATGTTCCCTAAAAATAATGTCACAAAAAAATATGGCGCTGCTGGATGAACAAAAACTGTCAAAAATAGCAGATGTTAAAAATGCTTCAGTTGGTAAATCTCTTCAGTAACAAATGTTTGTTGTATCTACTGATGGCAGCAACGGTATAGATATTTGTGTTAAAACAATTATAAAATAAAATAGCTGGTAGAAAATTTCTAAAATGGTTTTTGTTATTGTTTTTAAAATGAATTTTTTTTTAAAAAAATATATACCAAAATGACTAGTGTGTTTTTAAAGGTTTTATGAATATAGTAACAGATAGTTCTTAATTTTGTTTAAAAATGTCCTTTAATAACTCTTACTGTATAACACTTTTGCAAGTAAATCCCTAGCTCAGAATTGTAAGGTCATGCAGATTACAGTGTTGGCAGGTATATAATAAAAATTAATAGCATGAGGCCACTTAAAATGAAGAAAACATTGCTTAACGGTCTTGATATTAAAAATAAATCCTCTAACATAGCTAAAAAAATTTATGTTTAAACTTACTCTTAAATTACTGATAAAACATTACATTAACTGCAACGGATTTATTTCTTGGAAAACAAAACACATAATTATGTAGGAAAACACACTCACCCATACATTCTATCATCATAAAAGGATAATCAATATGGTATATGAGTATTATCTCCATCATTTATTATATTTATATTCATCATACTATTTATCTTATTATCTAGAAATTATGCAATGCCAGTTCTTAGCCATTGAACTCAATTTGACTTTGATCATAACTTCTAATGTAAATCACATACACTGTAATTTTCTTTTAAATTCCGTTTCTCTTATGCAGTGGTCTTGAGCCTTCAAAATATAATGCGTTTATTTCCATTTTGAATGATCTAATATTTATCTCATTTAATGATTTTATTTTAAAATTTATATTTTCCAGACAACTCCTCCTGAGTACTTTACAGAAAATATTACAACTAATGTGGCTCTGTTTTGGTCTGTAAATGATAAACTAGCTGATCCTCAAGATGTTCATTTATTAGAAGGAAGGCTTAAAACTCTTGTATCGAGTATTCGCGTTAACTCAAGTGATTGGAACCATTTGGATTTTGTTTGGGGACTTGATGCTCGTTCTCTTGTTTATGAGGGTGTTTTATCATTGTTACAAAAGTTTATCTACACATAGCAGCTGTTGAAGGTTTTGGATAAATGACAAAATAGCTACTTCTGTCTCTTCATCTAGTATTAAATATCTATTTTCACCACCTTTCTACTCGGTGCTAATCTAACTAGTCAACCATTTTAATAATTGTATTAGTTAAGTAAATAATGAGGTATAAATTTAACGTTTTGCTATAAATATTGCTCAACTGTGATATACATTTAGATTTAATATGAATTTTATTTCTTAGTGTCTACATTTCATAATGCTTATGTTTATTGTGATGAAATTCAAATATAATTTCTGTCAAATTTTTAATGTAGTTAAGTTTGGGTATATTTAATTTAAACTCTTAATATTAGTACTAATATTAAGTAATAGTACTTTTTTTTTAATATTTTACAAAATTTTAATCTGTCTTATTATGTATCATTGTTCATCCATTTATGTTTTCTTAGTTGTAATACTTTATATAATCACTGCGTTGTGATTGCTCTTATTATCTTTCTTTAATTATTGTTTTTTTTTTTCCTTTTAATGTGTCTGAGTTATAATATTATGAGATTATGATTCCCTTTTGATTTAAACTACTAAAATTTTTGGTAAGAATCACAATTTTTAATTGTAATGTTATATGGTTTTTAAGGCATATGAAACTATATTTCATTTCTTGTGATTTTAATTATTGTTTTCCATGTGCCAAGTTTTAAATACCTAGTCATATTTTGTAATTGCATCTACACAAATACATTTACTTATTTTTTATAAGAATATATTAAAAGCAATATTATAATAAAAATAATTGTTTTTGTTTCTTTTGTGTTAATGGTCTTTTTATATTAGTCGAAATAAAAGTTTTTAATAAATAGGTAGTGATATGGTGTGCTCACTTAAATGTAATTTCTAAATTTATCTTCTATTAAAAAAGGAAGAAGGACAGCATAATGATCAAACTAATGAACTTCTGAACTAGTGATAAAATTTTTTAGTACGATATTGCTGTTTTCATAGTTTTAAAGAATCTATTAAAATAAAGCAATAGCGAAGTTACTTTTTGTTGGAAAATTACAAAACAAAGTAATATTCAAACTTTTTGCCAAAAAAATAATATTCTTTGAAAACAGTTAATAAAAGCAAAAAATAATATGCATAGACACCACTTTTTGTTGCAAATCCGCAAGATTCCGCTTTCCAGAGATGATTGTGCTCCAGAAAAAATCCGGGTTTTTCCGGAACTGCGATCCGGAAATCCAATGTCCAGAAGTTAAAGGAAATCATTGATCACATTTAAAGAATTGAAATTCTTATTTACTATTTTTAGATCTTATATAATGGAGATTGTTTAAAAAAATTTCATTGATCTCTTCATATAGTTTATTTAAATGGTAAACTGAGATGGCATTTAGAAGTTTAATTGTTTAGTTGTATTCAAAATTAATGAAACTCTTTAATTAAAAATTTTGAGTTTTGATTAAAGTATATCAAACCAAATTACATTTTCAAACAACTTACAAAACGGTCATTTAACTTAAAAAGGAAAATTACGGAATATATACATATAAAGTTTTTTGATTAATATTTTACGAATCAATATTTTTATGTTGTGATCTCTATTAAAGTATAATTTGTAATTAATGTTTAAATTATAATTTTAAAAAATGCGTTCTAAAGTTTTTGTTACTGTGCAATAGTTTTTTTCAACCCTTAAATGCTCATAAACAGCTTATCATAAAGTGCCTATGCTTGATGAAGCACCTGTGTAATTGAAAAGAAACATCACTAAAATACAGGAATTCAAATAATCAACAAGTCTTATATAAAGTCATTTTAGTAATAATTATTGCTATTTATTTTCCCTTAACATCTTCTCAAATACCCAGTGTATGAATTTACTTTTATTCTCAAAGAATGCTTCTTTCATTAGGTCTCATTGTTTACTATCCTGCATCAAATCACACAATGATTAAATATAGAAATTGACTTCAAATTGTTGAAAAAGTTTATTATAAAGTTATTAATAGTTTCTAAAAGTTTTATTTACGTAGAAATAAGCATTGAATAATATCTATATCAAGGAAGACCTTTAAACAAAAAAATCTTGATTAGAGCAAAGGAAAAAGCACGATATTTAAAGAATAAGATTGCAACAAAAATTTAGAGAACTTAATATATTACTTCTGCTATATAATATGGTAAAAGTAATTGAAGAAACTTGACTTGTTTAGTGTGGCCATATATGCAGGTATTTCAATAAAAATTCTTGGCCGGAGGAAAAGAGAAAGCAAGACTTAGTTATGTATGAGGTGACTCGACAATGTGGGAAAGTGGTTAAAGAACTTGTGTGTCAATAGATCAAGAACGGTGATTATTGGCTATAGTGCTTAGAAAGAAGTTGTCGAATATTCCTTTATGTTTGTTTAAAAGAAAAATTTGATTAAGAGAGTAAGAGGCCTGGCAAAGATTTCTAGCCAGATTTTTAATGTTATTTCTGATCAAGATTTTAATTTTTTCTTTAGAGCTGCGTTTTTCTGGTGCAGTAAGCATCAAGTTTTTGAGAAGCATGAAATTAAAATGTGTTGTATAATTCTCTAAATTTCAGTCCCGCAGTGAATTGATTGTAAAGATGCGGTTCCCAGTCTTGACCGAAGTCAAAATGGCTGCTGTCAGTAAGCGAATGGGTGACCACTTAAATCATCCTACGTAGGGAACGAGGGTGCGCGGTATCGGTCCTCGTTAAACTGTTTTACTGTAAAGTGCTCTACTTCGCTCACAGGTCGTTAGGCTACCAAAGCAGGGAAGTCATCCCCTCTGCAGGGGATCGAAATTGCAATGGCATGCTTCTGATCATCCTCAGGGATGTTTCCCGATCGTCGCCAATAGTTGTGTAATGCGAAGTGAATAAAGTACCTACTTGCCTACTCTAACTTTAACTCATTAAAAAATCAAAAAAAATTTCTAATAAATATCTGCTAAAATATCATTTTTTCTAAAAACATTCTTAACTGAAGTTAAAATTCTATTGGTCTGAAAGAGGGAGGGGATCTTTTAAAGATGTAGCCTTATAATTCGGGCTTTTTCATTCCCTCGTATTCTTTTATCCGTATGTAGCTTTACAAATATTCAACTTCATTGACTAATATAAAGTGATTTCTCAGTAAATATGTTTTTCTCCAAGGGAAGGGATCTTAATTCTCGTCACAACAAGTTAGCTTGATCTGAAAGTATTATTATTTAAATAACGGCAGGTGCTGAACTTTCGTTCTTCGTCTTAGAAGATGCCGGAGGTGTTGCTCATTTATCGTTACCCAGTGGGCTGTGAACCAAAGTCGCGGAGGCGAGCAACATTACCCACACCACAAATACTCGTTCATCGGGTGGGCCACATTCACACATCAGAAGATAACACAGAGAGAGAGAAACATCGTTGCCCAGAGCGGGATTCGAACCCGCAGTCGGGCACGCTAACCACTCGGCCGGATCTGAACGTATATATCTGAATACAGTTATTTTTTTATGCCTCAGTATCTGACTTCCACTAAATCACTTTACTTTCATCTGTGTAGATGTCATAAGAATGTCATAAAATAAACCTTGATTCTCACTCGTGTGGCAGCCATCACAAAATTTCAATTTTAATCGTCCAATTATCAACTAATTTCACGTTTTGCTTTCTCATTTGACTTTATTGCTAGCTTGTCTTCAATTAAGTCAATTGGTTTTATTAATTATTTATAATAACTAGTTATAATATTATTATAATTATAAAGTGCACAAAAAATGAACCACTCTGAATAATTTTTGTTCTAATGATCGTATGTATCTTTACTATCTAAAACTCAATCACTTGCAAATAAATTTTATCTTTATTTTTATGAAACTTTTATCAGATACTCTTTGATGTTAATTTTAAGTTCATTTGATTATTCCAATACCTTAATTTCATCGCTAAATTGTTGAACAAATGTAATTCAAATATATTTTTTTAAGAAATAAAAATTTAACTACTATGTGCGTTATTTATTATACAGCTACCAAAACCACTTAAGTCTATTGAAATACTCATAAATATTGTATTCAGATAGAAATAGATAACGAAAAGTTAAAATTCTTACATACGTAACTTTTCAATTATCAACAATTAAAAAGTGGAAAATTAGCTATAAATGTCAAACAGAATATTATTTTTTCTCCACAAAACTTTGCGCTCTAATTTCCATCAATGTCACCGAAATTTCGTTAAAATTTCAAGATGAGGAAATAAAAATTATAGTTTTTGGTTTCTAAGTCCATTGTCCCGCTATAAAACGGGAGAAACTTTTCATCACAGATTCTATTTCACTTCCATAACTAATTTAAAGCATAGAAAAGTGAATTCAGGCAAACCTAGATCAAGCCATGATTGCTGGAAAAAAAATTCTAAATATCAAAATGTTAACAGATTATTAGAAGAGCCATTGCGTAATCCTAAGTTTTCCTCTCATAACTTATTTTTCATTTTAATATTTTGAAAATTTCTTTTCAGTATATGAAACTTCATAACTTATTCAAGATTTGCCTGAACTTACTTTTTCTATACTCAAAATTTTAAATTACTTACTAAGGTGAAAGAGATTTAGCGATTAAAAGTTTCCCCCGTGGTAAACCGTCCTCTTAGTGCAAAGAGAACATTTATACAACTCTGTGGAGTTAAATCAAAACGTATAATACGTTAAAAATTATAAATGCGTATGTTTAACTAAATTTTAAACGTACACTATGTTATTGAAATTAAATACGTGTATATTGATTAAATTTTAGTCGTATACTATGTTGCAGACGTGTTTAAATGTATTTGTCAATAAAGTTCTAAACATTTATGTTAATGAAATCAAAAAGTGTATATTGATTAAAATTTTATTCTGTGTTAAAAAAAAGTTTTAACCTTGTTTAATAAAGTTTTAGACATATGTAACTGAAATTAAAAACGTGTATATTGATTAAAATTTTAGTCGTATACTATGTTAAACATAAGTTTAAAACGTGTTTGTTATTAAAGTTAGGAATGTTAATGAAGTATTACACTTGCTTGTTAATGAAATTCTAAACTTATAATAAAATCAAGTCAGTTATCAGCACGAGCTGAACACTCAAAAATAGTTCACTGTATTTATTTTTAGTATCAGCTGATAACTGATTTCTCATCGAAATTAATCATGCCAGTTCAACGTGTTTTTCATGTAAGGACCATTCAAAGATATCGATATTTGACACGAAATTTTATTTATTTTGAATTATCAGTTATTTCATTTTTACATAAATATGGTGTGATTTTTTGTGGTATCATTTTAAAATACTTAAACAATACTTAGAGGAAATAAGTTTCGTGTCTCGTAGATTTGGATTTATTTCATTCTCAATGGTTGTCGAAAAAGGTTTGGAATTTCTTTACTAAATTTATCAATTTCTTTAATATGCCTTTAATATTTTCGTTAAATTATAACTTAATTAATATTCTAATTTTTATTTAGTTTGTATTGTCTTTCACCTAATTTTTGTATTAATATGGTGAGATATTCGATGGTATAATTTTAAATGGAATACAATACTTAATCCGAAAAAATAAGCAGACTTAGATGAAATGAAAATATTTCTGCGAACTCAAAATCTCAATTAAAGCTTTTTTTGCAAGCAATTTATTGACTCTTGTAACTTATTCGTCGCCACCTAATTTTGAAGAAATTTGTTCGAAAATCACTTTTAAATGCTTTTTAATTAAAAAAAACTATACTGATTATTATACATATCAGCATATGTTTCTTTGAATTTAGCAGTTTTATGAAGATATAAATATAGAACAAGTTGATTTACTTTTTTTTATGCTTGAGTTTC